GACTCAATAAAATCAATAATATAAGTACATCGATACAAGTAGTTGAGACTGTAATTTTACTTTTCAGTATTACAAACGGAATATCAAAAATATAATAAACTAATTTAAGATGTTATTTACTATATAAATATATAAAAAAAGGGTGGCAAAACATTTTCAAAAAGAATTTTAATGAATTTAATTACTTTAATTATTTTATAACATTTCTGTACCAGCACAGCATGTTGTTAAAGTTAAGGATAAATTTTAGTTTTATCAAAATTGGTTAGATATCGTAGTAGGTAATAAATGTTTTTTCCTTTGAATTTCTTGCTTTTTTTTGTTTTCTTATTCCGCGTTACATAAATAAATATATTAGGACAATTAAATGACAAAATTGGATTCTATTGTGTCGTCAGAATAATTTAATTAAATTAAATTTATTATCGATATTAAGAAATTGTAATAATATAAAAGGACAATTTTATATTACACAAGAATATTGAGATATTTCAATTATTTAAATAATCAAAAAGTTAAATGGATATAAGGGTGTCCCAAAATTCAAGCAAGAAGTAACTTTGATAGAAAACACAAGTTTATAATTAAAAATTGTAAATTTTTAATGATTTATATATTACACAGTATAGGGCCACGACTAAGCTGGCACGTACACACTTTTTACCCACCACAAGGCTTGGTTGTGGTCTCGTTGACAAAAATCATAGACTTCAAAAAACCGCAAAGTAAAACATCCAACGGCGTTAACTCGCATTATCTGGGCGGCCAATTCCGATTACCAAATAATGATCAATTGAAATGACTCATGCAGTAATTGAATTGTTTCTCGGGCTGTAATGCTTTATTTTTTTGATTCGTGCATTATTAGACTTTATTTTATTGCTTATTTTATTTATTTTGATGTTGAAAAAAATTTTAGCTTGTGTCTGAGTATGGTAAATTTTTTTATTTTTTAATTGATTTTAGATCTGAAATTTTTGAAATGCCAAACTAAAAAATTCTCTATAATTAAAAATATTCTTTAGTCTATCCAAACACAAATGATGAAGAAAGCGTGGGCAACTTCAATTGCTTGTTACGATAACAATGCAGTACAAGTATTAATTCAAAAAAAAATACTTTATGAAAATCAAATAAAAATTTTAAATTGCCTTTGTTATTTTGTTAGAAATTATTTTTTTTTCCATAAATTTTTTATCATAGACAGATCTAATGCGAATTACTTTATATTTGGCTTGAAATTTGCTTAAGGATAAATTCAATATTGATTTCCAAAACACTTTGGACAAAATTTAGCGAAGCAAGATAAAAATATATTTAATTGCTTTTTCCTTGAAATGAAACCCATGAAAATTGTATCAGTGCATTCATTTGCAGACAAAATAACCATTTTTTGTTTTCTATATTATAGCCTTTGAATTTTGAATTGCATACTTGAAAAATATTGATCCCCCCCAAATACTATTTTGAATACATACATATATAGTAAAACATTGATTAGAATTAATTTTAAAATAAAAATTTAGCATTTATATAAGCAAAACCTGTCAGGACCTAAAAAAAAAATTTATAGAATTAAAAAAAACTCCAATATATAAATTTCGGTTCCCGCAAAAATTCTAAAACAAAAAGATCTTAGCAAAAGGATTTAGAATTGAAATAAAATGCAATTGCTTATCCTTTCCTGTTTTAATATTGGTTATCGTTACATTTCTCTATTTTACATTTTACATCCTTATCAGAATGACTACAAAAAAAAAATATATTTATTTTTTTTCATTTTTCTGATTTTCTTTTCCTCTCTTTGTTTCAATTTGTCTCTCTTTGTCTTTCTATTTTTGTTTGACATTAAAGGAAATCTCTTGCTTTTTTTTAGCTTGAATTGCTACATTGCCCCAAGAGTATACTTGTTTTTTTAACATGAAAAGTGTATTAAAGGATTTATGACTAACACAATGATAAAAATAAATAAATTTGCAGCAGAGTTTTATTTCCTCTTCTCCATAATACCCTACACAAATTTTAGTTTAACGAAATATGAATTTATACCAAGATACATACATAAAATGAGAACGAAATGTAAAAAAAATAAATCACAATCCCCAGATCTTGTAGGTCTAATGCGGCATAACAAAAAACAAAAAGAGAACAGAAACAACCGAGTACATAATAAGAATAAAATTCTCACGTTACTTTTTATTATGCTTTATATATTCAATATACTCGAATACTTAACCTTACCTCAAGGTTACAAGCAATTTTTTAATATTAAAAAAAAGAGAAAATGATAACTGTATCCAAACAAATTTATCTTATTCACGGTTAAACACGTGGGGAAAATTAATCAAATTTATAATAAACGAAAAATAAGCACCATTTTATTTTTTTAACCTACGACAATTAAAATGGAAAAGCATTGACTTTTTTTTAATTCCTTTATTCATTACTGAAAAATATTACAATTATACCGCTCAATGTCTCTAATAAATAGCACTCCTATTGAAATTTAAGATAATTTTATATAATATGGCTACAATAAAAGATTTGGATGCGAAAACTCAAATTAAAAATATTAAATTAGAAAATATTAAAATAAAATTATTACTATAAAGGTTTGGTTAAAATATTATCTAATATATACAAATTATATCTTAAAACTAAACATAAATATTTACGAACTTAAATCTAAAAATTTAATTCTAAAAATATGGTTTTCTGTAAATTAATTTATTGGTATTGGGGAGGTATTTTTCATATATTCTTTTTAATACATGTGGGAGGTGTTAAAAATCATTGAAAAACAAATATAGGACGACCCAAACTGTCTTCAGGTTTATCAATAGTGGGAAACATAAATCCAATCTGAAACGGTCATATAGTCATAAGCTTCCAACATTATTCAAACTGACCAGCTATTAATATTGCTCTATCGTGTTTTTGTATCTTCAGTCTGTGAACAGCACCTTAGGCTAAATCAGGAGGTCTCGCTCGCTTCATTCTTTTTCACTAAATGTTTTCCCCTATATAAGTCGAGAGGCCTCGATATTTACATGCTGTTCCAAGCGCGGTATTTGTTTTTCACACATGAATATTTTATATTGATATTATTTTAGATTTAATAAACATTTTGTTTTTTAAATTAAGAGGATCAAAATTAGAATTTTTCAATAAAATAATTTTGATTTAAATATAAGAAGCTCTTAGGTGGAATGAATCATACTATAAGTGTAGTCTTAACGTATTCATTATTTCCGTGCCCAACATGACAAAACAATAAATTTTGAAAGAATTCAATACTCTGTTGCAGTGTGGTTACAATTTTTCATCGGGATTTTTATATGGTTACCAAATTTAAATAAATAGTGAAAACTAAGTCCTATTTATTTCACAATATTCGAGTTTTTAATTATTGAAAGATTAGGTACTTTTATATGAAAATTTTTCCAATTTCGCTTTCTGATCATATCGCATAATTTGCGATTTAAATTGTTAAGCCATGGGAAAGAATTTAAAAAAAAATAAAAGCGATTTAGTAGAATAAAAATAATTAAAAGAGTTTTTTTATATGAACTTATTAAAGTGTCAATTATAATGGAACACTCTGAATTTGTAATACATAACTCAAGCATGTAACTCAAAATCAACGACCTCAACACAATACGACCTTATACATTTAAATGTTAAGTTATAATGTCTTTAAGCAATTTATTATAAGAAACGATTTTGTTCCAACAATCTGAGATCGTTTTGTCATATCATATTGGCCCTACTCATCAGTAGATGAACCACTTAGATACACTTAAACAACTTAACAAAAATTACAAATATCGACTTATACATATATGCGCTTATCCGTAAAAACCATCTACAAAAAAATTCCTGAAAAGCTAAAATAATTTTTAAAGTAAAAATTGAATTATAATTAAAAGCTTAGTGTATCTAAAATGACCAACAACTCATTTAACATCATCATGAAATAAAAGTAGAATATAATTGCATCCCCTTTAATATAACCAACTTATTTTGACAAAAATTTAGTTTACGCCTTCATAACTGTTTCATGTATTAAATCTAGTCTTACCATATTTTTAAGAAAGAAACGAGAGCATCCTAACTCCACGTAAATTTGAACAGAGATTACGGGAAAAGATCCTTTTTTCTTGATAATAGAGACCGAAAACTTAGTCGAAAATTTATAGCGCAATGCTATAAAACTCATAACAAGATTTATAGCGCGTTGCTCAGCATATTATTTTAATTTTCATTATTATAGCGGCTATAAAATATAACCATTTCAAAACAAATAATTAAAATTAAACTGCTTTAGTTTATTACAGCAAAATAAACAAAAACTTTTTCAAAATTTAAATTATTTCTTATAAAAAATTTTTACCGAGCTTACTGTTTCCAGCTCGCTTGTACAGCACATTTTAAAGCAGAGGCATCATTAATTTTAATAAACTTATAAGTATATGCTATAAAGTTTGCATTCATTAACCATTCTGTAATTATTTAAAATTAAATCCTTTTTTTTGTCCTTTTTTCCTAGAAGCATTTAAATCACCATAAATGGATTATCATAAGTTACATTTTGTTCATCGTACTGTTTCTTTCATTTTTTTGTTTTGTGATACCAGAGGTTCTTGTTGTGAAGGAAGTTTACTTCGCGAATTCCCTTCATTTTATTTAATTTTATTTTTTCTCTTAAATGTAATAAAAAATTATTAAAATAAAAAAATTTAATTAAGACCCTTAGCCGCACCCAATCTATATTTCATTCTACATTCTTCTGTATAATTATGATGAGCATCCATAGGTACATGATACATACATTACTTTCTTATATACGCATATAACATAGTTACACTTTATACATTTTTCCATCATTGTGTTTCCCTTGATCAATTAGTATTAAATTTTCAAAGTTAACTTTGAATAGTAACTATAAAGTTTCAGTTCTATATTAAATTACGTTCATTTTTTGTTGTGTCTTCTTTTAGATCACCGAGGAATTATTTCGCCGAGTGTTGTAGAACATACTTCACTTGTATCTGTGTCACAAGATGAAGGTGCAGTGCTTTTATGTGTTGCACAAGGATGTCCATCACCTGAATACCGGTAAGTGTAATTTGAACATTTTTTTTTTCTTATATAATTGTGTTTTAGTTGCGTTTCTGCTTTTTTTTTTAATTAAGTAAAGAAAAATTAAATGAATATTAAAAAAAAAAAATTATTTAATAAAAGAATCTGAAGGTACTTAAAGTGTTTTACACTTAGACTAATATCGAAAATCAAAAGCTATTCTAATAGCTATTAGATATTAGAAGCCAGAAAAAAGATATTAAAGCTACGAAGCTATTAGTTTCTTAGAGAAGCTTTTAGAAACTAACAAAGAAAGTAATAACACAGATATGCAAACATTTTGTTTTGGTGTAATGGTTATTGCCTTACACAGAAGATTGCTTATAAAACTGCAACTGACTTATAAAAACTATAGAATTCTGAAAGCAAGATTTCAATCAAAAGACGAACGAATTATAGACGGATCACAGGGTTAAGGTTTACAACAAGTAAACCTTTTACAATTTCTATTGAATATTGAATAGCTTTCCTATAACATTGTAGTCAAAATAGTCCCAACTGACTCCAGGTTCTTATTATAATGCGCATGTTGTCCTTAAGCATTTCTACACACCTGCATACAGGGACCCAGCCCAAAATATTTGTCTGATTCTTCTCATTTTTATATCCAAAATATTTCCCAAATTTGAAAGTGGAATAAACATTTAGGAATCTATCTTTTGTGTTGTTTGCTAATCTAATTCGTCATTTTCTAGAGCTACCTAAGTTGGCTATAGAAAATTGCTTTGCCTCAAAACCCAAAACGCACACCAGAATTAGCGTATAAAATCATATATTTTTCAAAAAATGTTTATTCTCATATTAAATTGCTTAAATTTTCTAACTTGTCTATAACAAAAATCATTTAACAATGCTTCCACGGAAAAGATGAATTATAATCAAATGATTTTTTAAAATATTTTCATAATTTCACTAAAAATGAAATTATGAAAAAGCTGTTCTCTTCTTTTTTTCACCATAAATTTTCATACCTTCTTTCACTTCCTTTTTAATATTTTCCTTTAAATTACTTTATTTAATTTTTATGAAAATTTAATAAAGAAAACTTTTTTTTTTCGCAATTAAATCATTTTTCATTTTTTTTTTTTTGCATTTATTTTATTTTCACCATGAAGTCCAGGATTTTCATTAACAAACAGACATAAAAAAAAGGAAAAATGTAAAAGAAAAGATGAAAATATTTTTAGAGTTAAAATTTTTTTGTACCCAAATTAGGGACACATTTTTCTCAGTGGGATCTTAAGAATCTTGCACACTTGACTAAATTCATTTAGTAGAATTATTCTTTTTGTGTAGGAAATGAAATTGTACGATAACAATATTAAAAACTTATTAATATAAAAATTTTTTTTTCTTTGTTATTTTGCATTTAAATTGTAAAAATTGCAAAAAAAAAAACTTTAAGAATAAAGATTTAATTTGAAAGGAAAGGATTTTCTCCAATAATTCTAAATTACTTTAATTCTCATATTTAAATTTTTGAATGTCTTAATATTTCAAAGCTTCAACTTAATAAAAAACTTTGAAATATGAAGACGCATTGAATTTTTTTATAAATTAAGTAATTAAGTCCATTCAACATAGGAAATAAGTTTTCATAAATTCAAGCTCGAATTTATTTCTGTGAACTTTAATTTATACCCAAGTCGTATAATACTCCTAAAATGTTAATATAAGATCAGGAGCAGAACCAATATAAGAATTAAAAGTATTAAAAAATCATTAGTTGGAAGCCAAAAAGTCAAATTTATAAGTACTTAGAGAAAATTCAAAAAAGTTATTCGGTTTCTGGAAATCAAAACGAAATGTACTGTTAAAAAATTATGTAAAATAAGCTTTCCGATAGGTCATGGCAAATTTCCTTCATACACTAATATAACAGCACTTATGTACAATATCATGTTTAACGTAAATGTAAAATAGAAGTCTTTGTAAGTAAATTTAGGAGAAAAAATCCGAGAAATACAAACTCAGATCTAAATAAATTATTGCCAATTATTAAGTTATACGTTAAAGTCTCAATTGAAATTGTATAAAAATGGAAAAACAAAAAAAAAAAACAAAAACTAGAAGTAGAAAATATGAAAAGAAATAAATTCAAATAAAAAAAAAAGTTTCACATTTCATCAACTCATCAAAATTCTTTCATTCATTCAATAACTTCACAATTTTTCTAGCTCTTTCTATTTTCCTCCATTTTTTTTTATATCCTTTATTTCTGTTTTCTTTCTTATTTTTTATTCAAATCCACATAAAATATATATGTACATAATATGTTATGTATTAACACATAATTTTATGTATATAAGAAAAAAAAGTTATCCTTTTGGTTTAAATTAAATATGTCGACACATCTCTATCTAAATATGAAGATGAAACGTATAGGAAACAATAAAAAAAAATGTTACAAGTAAACTAATTACGAGGTATTAAAAGTTAAAAACAAAAAATAGGAAAAAAATAAAACTGATGATTACAAAGATGGATGAAAACAAAAAAAAGAAATTTGTAAACTTCATCAATTTAATTTATAAAAGGGAATGTATTTTTAGATTAATCCTTAAAGCAATCTTATAATAACTATTAGTACGTATAATAGAATATCAAATATTTTAAGTTAATCTTTAATAAGAAATGGTTTTAAGTAAAATTTTTCTTCAAGCATTCGAATTCTGAAAGCTTATTGTATAATTAAATTGAACTAAATTACTAAATAATTTTGAACATGCCAACTCTTCCGAATCATTTGAAAATTTTGCATTTTAAAACTGATGCATGCTGTGTTAACAATTAAAATTTCTCTTTCTTTCTAGACTATTTCGAAAGCAAAACCTTAAGATTTTGAGAATTTCGATTCAACCCAAAAATTTTTGAATCCAGCTTCCGAGTCCCAGTTCATATAAGAATTTGAAATTATTTGAAATTTTACTGCATGACTTTATTTATGTTGAAACCTTCACACATTATTCCACAATTTATACTCTCCTTCTTATATAAACTCGCAGAGGGATAGTTTGTAAGAGAAAGCGATCAAGAAATTAAATTTAAAGTTTTCAAAAAATCTATACCAATATAAATCAGTGCATTTGTTTTACGGAATTTCTACAAGAATTTTACGAAATTAAAATTTTTTTAAACATTTTTAATAATTTCAAATTATGAAGTTGAAGCATGAACTTTTGAGAAATTTTCAATACAATTACATGAACTTTTCAGCCATTTTGCATTAACTCAATGTATTCCAACAAATAATATAACTATATTTTTATCACAATTTGTAATTATATATAAAAATATTCACATACTATGAAAATAAATAAAAAGTGAATTTCAATAGAAAAATATGAGCTTCGGAAACTGGAAATGGCTAATGAACGCAAATGAATGCATTTAAATATATAGTTTTACAATATAATAATTTTATATATATATATATATATATTCATATAACACTATATACATATTATACAAGTACTTATTACTAATAAATAATTTAATGCATAATAATACTTGTACAATATATAAGTATAGGTATATGTATTGAATTGCCGGTACATTGTCTGCAACTCAGTAAATAATTTCAACCTTAAACTCGAAATTCATATCAAGAGAACATCATCCTCCCATTCAATTGAAGTTTTGTTTTTCTCTCTTTATTTTCAAAATATCCTCACAATTAGTTTTTTTTTCTTTCTATCTTTTGTTTTATTTTTATTTATTTCATTCTTTCTTATTTTTTCTTTTTTTTTGTTTTTGGTTCCTGATATCCTACCGTTTTTATTATTATAATTTTTTTTTTCATTATTACTATTATAACTATTATTTCAGTTTTGTTGTGAATGAATTTTACTGTAATTATGAGCGTCGATAACTTGAAAATCTTAAAACAAAAGAGACTGAAAACAAAAACAGCAAAAAACGAATTCGCCCTTCTCCAATTCTGAATTAAATTTTCGTCCTTTTTTTTTATTTTTTTGTTTTTTTTACCTCATTATTATTACTAAAATGAGCCGCTACGATTTACAACCGCAGCAAAATTTCAAAAGAATAAAAATTTTTTTTTTTTGTTTTTCAAATAAAATATAACAGAAAGAAAAAAAAAACAATAACAATGGTAGAACAAGCAAAATTGTTTAGCTCCTGATAGGATTTATAATGGTGAATTTCTGTAGTAGAATTTTGCGACAGCACCACAGCAGCCAACATCATCAGTATCAGTAAAAACTGATTGTGAAGCATAGCATAGAAGGGAGCATAATTTCTTATTATTTGTGTATAATATTATCAACTGCTCTCATGCATGAATTTATGAAAAATGCAGAAACAAAATCATAAAACGAAAAATCTATATTTTTTCTTTTCTATTGTTAAAATCATGAAATATAAATTTCACTACTCCAGTCATATTTCTTTGTAGCTTAACTGTAAAAAAATATGAACTAAAAAAGAAGAAAAAATAACAAAAAAATGAATGAAAAACAAAAATAAATTTATTAAAAAAAAACTGAATGGGTATGTGTGAGTCCCTCTTTTAGTGGTTCAGAACTTTTTTTTCCTTTCCTTGATTTTTTTCCGTTTGCAGTTTTTTTTTTGTGAATGAACAAATGAGTGTATGCAATCAGAAATAGTCTATAGTTTTTTACTAAATAATGAATATTTTTATATGCAACTATTCATATACATATGTATTATGTGCATACATGCCTACATACATATGAATATTGTACAGCGTGTTTCAAGTGTATTCAATATCACAATAATATTATCAGTTAGCACTAATATATTAAGTTTTTTAATTTACCCATAAAATCGGTATCCAAATATTTTTACAATAAATTTGCAACAACAATTTCGAAGTTTACCTTTAATTCAATCGATTCGAGCTGGGAATGAAAAAGTACTTAAATAGTTTCATAACAACGTGCTATTCATAATAGCAAAATATTAGCTAAGGATATTTTTGGAATCAATTAGTT